GTCGGGATATGCCCAGAGTCACGGAACGGATTAAGTTCGTATCCCGAGGTACCACTGTACTTAAATTACAAAAAAGTAATTGTTGAAGTAGCTTGTTTTCCTGCTTTCTCCCAAATGCTAGTTCCTTTTGGTTATTATCTAATAGTCTGTATGATTGGAGGTACGGGGATAGAGATTGCATTTTCTTAATATCTCTGCAAAAGAAAACTTTTTGCACATTATCAAGAACAATTTTCAATATAGCTCTTATGATGTTTACTTATGTCTTTATAATATCATGTAGGCCTCAGGGATTCCTCTTTTATTATTCATACATTCTTGAGAAAGATGGTAATTACAGTACTCTCAGAATTATTTTGATAGTTAAAGTGGCCAAGATTTTTGCTGGAAAGTTATCCACCCAAATATGTTTGTCTTATATTTGTTGAAGGCAATTAACAAAAGGTGAAAGTCAAGGCTGTTTTCCACTCCTAATTTGTGCATTTATCTCTGAAAATCAGGTGAAGAGCTTTTGAAATCTCTTATGTACCTGGCTCACTTTAGAAAATATTTTATTCAGAATAATACTTGAACAGTGATATGACCTAAAACTTTTTAACCTCTTCATCAAGTATAATTTGTCAAAAAATAAAATAATTTTACTTAAGTCCTATGTGAATCATCTTTTTTGGATGAATATTTTTTTAAAAATATTGAAACTGATATTTGTATCAGTTTTATCTTTTTGTGTTTAATAAAGACTTAAACATTACTTTTTGGCAAACATGTTGCTTCTATGTTTATTGCTGGTATGTTAATATATTCTAGTGAAACTATTTTAAACACAATTTACTTAAATCTATAATTCAAAGAACAATCTGTTTCGGAACAAATTTATAGAATTTACAGAACCCTCAGCAATGAAAATACCCAGAACAGCAGGATAGTGCGATCCTTTACAGCAGTGCTAAGGATCACGTAAATGTAAGGGACAGAATTAGGCTACAAAGCTAAAACTGGGACCTAAAGTTAATAACTTGCTCCACACCTGATGTGTGCATGCTCAATAGGCTGAAATTAGAATTAAACTGCATCCTGTACACAATATTTATTTTCTCTGTCTTTTGGTAATACATTAAGAAATACACCACAGACTAGTGCTTGGTAGGGCAGCAGGAAAAGGCTTTGGAAAAGATATTCACATGCTGTGATGTGTATATATCTGCAAAAATCAAAATCAGGGGGGTAATAGTTTTCCTGAAACATTCTATGGAAATGGAAGTTGAATTTTGAAGAAGTAGGAAAGAGTACTGATGCTTTTGAATTTTGATGTTGGAAAACACCATGGATAGCCAAGAAAACAAATGGGTCATAGAATAAGTCAATCCAGAGTTCTCATTCAAGGCACAAATCACCGGGGTCAAAATGACTATGTTTAATGTTCAATATACAGTATAAATATTTAGGTAGTGGTTGGGGGAAAAATGCAAGGGGAGGGGAGAATGTGTAACCAAAACGTGTTCTTACAATTTTTTAACTTATGTTTTATTAGTAATTGTTTATCTTCTGCTTTGCTTTTTGTATCTTTATTCTTATGTGATTTCTGTTTAAATAATCTGTCAAACCTAATACAAGACACATTATGCAAATAGCACGCTCCCTTAAGAAGTTCATAATGCTGGAAAAGGTGGAAGGAAAGAGAAGAAGATGATAACTAAAACTAGGTGGATGGACACAATTATACCACTGGCAGACTTTAAGGGCTGGGCTGGGACAGATCCCCCTGGAGAAGGTCTATCTGTGATTGCTAAGAATCGACCCTGACTTGATGGCACATAATCAATCAGTTCAATGATAAATTAATACCATAATACAAAAATGGAATTCTTAGACTGCCGTATACAATATGTACCTTGGCGTGATGTAGATCTACTCCATACATAGAGAGTTTTTTGGCATTTTCCAGAAAGTGCATCTCTGCTTCTGCAGGTGTCATTCCCCTAAAGTTAATCAATATGGATAAAAACATAAGAAGTGAAAGTGAAACTTTTTCCTGGAAAATAAATATTTTCTTCAAAATGTAGGACCTCCATGCATGCCTGTGCCTGTGCCTAAGCCTAAGCCATCAAGTTGGCACTTTTGCTGAAGCTCTGCAATCTGCTGTAGCAAAGGGAGTCGCCTTGAGTGGAGGTATTGAGACAGAGTGTTTTGGTTTTTCAAGCTAAGGCTTGAAAAATGATAGAAGTCAAGACAAGTCTGCAAAGCAAAGATGACCAGCATTTTATACAGGCCCATTATTTATATACACCATGTCCCTTTGCATCTCTTACCTATGGCTTTTATGAAGCTCTATTACTTTATCTTCCAATTCTTTAGTATGGTTTGGTGCAAAGCGGAATTCACTGATATAATCACTTCCGTATTCATCAGGATCATAATCTCCAAGCTCTGACTGAACTGTATAGGAGCCTAATAGTGCAAGTGTAACAAAAGAACATGGCAATCGTCCAGACACAATGTCATCTCTCAGCTGCAAGCAGAGGTAATACCTGCAATAAATTTATATTTTTAAAAAACATATTAACATTTCTATATATATAAGTAAAAGCATTTTAAAATTTATAGCGATTCATAAACAGTTAGACAGTATATATATAAAACACATTGCCATTTTCAACAGTGAACATAAAAAATAGGCAAAAAGGAATATGGGGGGAAAAAGCCTCACATCCCATGGATAGACAAACGCACAATTTGGAAACTAAAATATCTGCCTCATATTCAAGAAATATGCATATTTGCTGAAATGCTGTTTACAGCAACAGCTTTATTTGTTATACAAGGCATAGCAAGATCCAGTAAGTGACAGTTTCTTCTATTTCTAAGTTATTACTAACTAAAGGAATAATTGCATGCAAACAATTTCATATTAATGTCAACAATAATCTGAGTTTATATACAAAACTCGACAGTTAACACATGATGCAATTACTCAACTCAATCTTTTTGAGAATTAGAAAGGCCTAGATAATGAACTTCCCCATAAACCCTTTTTTAATATATCTTCCAATAATTCCCCATATGAAGGCTTAAGAACAAACAAGTTTAATTTCCAGCTACACTACCCCTGGAACCACTCATTATTACCCAGAAATCTGGGAATTGTATTTTTCAATACATCTGGAGTTAGGAAGAACAGAAAACTACACTTTTAAAATTTTATAGGGGTAATCAATGCTTCAAAAACTGAGCTGTGCTATTCCTGGACTCTGCAATAAAGATAAATTTGAGTGACGCTAAGATAAGCCCCTAGAAGTAAGGCTGCATTTCAGTCTCAACCAGGAGTAGATGTTAGAAGAAGTAACAACATTCCAATATATATAATGGCTTTTCCATTACCTATTATCAGCTCAATGACTGAAATCACGTGACCTTACAGCAACAATTTGCTTAAATAAATAAATAAATACATAAATACAAACAAACAAACAAACAAACAATTTGTTGGTTAAGCAGATTATGGTCATAATAATTTTTCAGAAATAATTTCTGTTGAGTGATGATGCATAAACTACCTTGTAATATCTTCAGAAAGTTGGGCAGGATCAGGAGGGTAGAATTTAACATTGAATGAGAAATGCCAAGCACCACCTAAAATAAAACAAAGGATTATTGGGATTCTCTGTCCGCTGCACTCGCTACAGTTATTTACTTAGGTATATATTTTTGTTACTTTCAAAATTAATGCTTGTTTCTCTAGTCTTTGATTTAAAACTTATAGCCACTTCACTGATATTTCTATTTTGAGAGTTTTACTCAGCAAACATTTACTTATCTGAAACTTCCATAAAATGATGTAGACAAAGGATGTTAGGTAATAGTTAAATAATGAAATAAATATGGAAATAACCATACAGGTAACTAGACATTCAGTAGAGTTTCAAAATCTGCATCCATAATCAAGCGAAACACACAACTGTGTGTAACTATCAGTACCTTTATAAGTGCTACTTCAGCATAAATGAAATTGCAAAAAAAAGGACAGGATGTTATTGGGAATATGCCCTGAAACCTTTTAAACCAGGCAAATAATTATACAATAGCCAATATAAGTACTTATACTGAAGGAAGGAATAAGAATGATTTGTATGGCATAAGTGGTTTGAACTTTTTCATTTCATAAAGTGCTTTTTCACAGTTTCACTTGCATACTAGTTCATGCTTTTTTGTTGGCCTGGCCTTAGTTATTCATGTTCTAATAACTTCCAGGTTATCATAACAAAGCCTATGTGAAAATTCCCTTGAAGGCAGTCCAGAAGCTTCAAACGACTTGGAATGTGGTTGGAGTCAGGTGATCTATATAAAGGGCTCTTTTCTACTTTGAAAATCCTCAATAGCATAAAATCAGAACTTCATACAAAATAATCTTTGCCTGTATGAAGTAAATTCTGAACTTTTAAAGATTTATTTCCCCTCTGACTCGCTTCATTCACATGCACACACACATACACTGCAAGGTACAAACATTGAGTCAAATTGGTCACAATGTCTATAATCTGGAATAGTCATTAAATGCTGATGTAGTTCTTCACTGCATTTTAAAAAGCAATAGCTATTTTACTCCTGCAAGATTTCAAAAATTAAATTTTGAACAAAAGTGAGATTGCTGCTTGTAAGCATTGCTAGAATGCGAGAAACTGGTTTCTTAAAACCAGGTACCCTGTACAAATAACACTGGTTATTTTGGATGTTGGCCCAGATGGTTTTACTGTATATATTCTTGCGCATGGTCTTGAAAGGGAAGTTTGAATGGTAACACATATTATTTTACCAACTGCAAAATACAGTGTGTCAGTTTTGTTTTGTTTGGGGCTGTTGTATGAACCTTGGATTTTTTTTTTCCCCTGAAAGTACTGCTCTGACATCACCAATCAGTAGATCTTTTAATCCCATTTTAATACTTCCCCAGTTCGCTACTCTCTATTTTAACTATATATGCAGTGATGGATATAGAAGTTGAAATCAAGTTCTATTATTAAAGCCTTGGTATGCTTTATGGAACAGGTCTCATGGAAATTCTGACAGCACAACATATATTATTATATATATTATTATTGGCCAAGGTTTTGAAAGAAATTATCATAACATGACATCCCCCTGACCAATATATTTCCATAGCGGATCTGCAAAAGGTGCTAAGGGTTGCATGAAAGGGCAGATTATCTATTCCCCAAGTAGTCTCTATCATGCCAACACAATAATATATTTTGTTTCTCACAGAAGATTTTTCTTTATAGAAATCTTAACATTTTAAAAGCTTTGCAAGTTTCCCCATAATATAAATAAGCCTGTATGAAACAGAAACTATATTTTAATCTCTGATGGAAAATGCTTACTACAAAATGCCCTTGTTTATGCATACTTCACCACTGGAAACAGGTCAAGATGGCAAATATTTATCCATGGAGTCCCCAAGAGTTGAATTCTTCTTGAAGATAACTAACTTACTGGGATAAATACTGACATCTGCTTGTACCTGTATTATATTCGAGCACAGAAAAAGCCTCTTACCTCTTTCACTTATTACCTAGATATCACTCTGTTTAAAACTCTTTTACATTCATAAATAAAATCTTAAAACACAAACATTAATGGCAGGATAACCATATATTTAAAGTCATCTGTTTTATCTTGATATATCATCTTGATGAGCAAATAACAAAGTGTTAAGATGGAAAAGAGTTTTTAAAGTACAAGAAAAAACTGAACAAGTACAGAGGTCTCTCTAGTGGTACAATTCAATCTTTCTGATGAAAGTTTTTTAATTTGCAATTTTTCTAGATTAGAAGTTTTAACATACCGAAACCATATTTTCTACTTATGGACATTCTCAATTATTTTCGTCATTTTGTACTGATTTCTAAAAAAAGTTGACTGATAATGTAAAAAATAGTAAGAAAATATAAATATATGGACTTGCTACATACAGTAGTCCTCGGGTTTTGACCACTCATTCAGTGACCATTTAAAGTTATGACAGCGCTGAACAAGTGGTACTTATGACCAGTCCTCAGAGTGCTGGCTGTCACAGTGTCCCCGTGGTCACATAATCACAATCTGGGTGCTCAACACCAGGGTCACAATTACATAATCATGGAGAGCTGCAGTCACGTGACCACAATTTCCAATGTTCCCAGCTGGCTCCCCACAAGCAAAGTCAGGGGGGACCCAACAGGAAGTTGAAAATAGCAGTCATGTGAGGTCCTTGCAACTGGAACTGTTGGAATTGCTGTTGCTAAGTGGTGTAGTCATGTGATGTCTTGCTTTACAACCGTGTCGCTTAGCAATGACAATTCTGGTCCCAATTGCTGTCATAAGCCAAGGACTATCTGTATTGGATAATATATATTCATTAATATGAAGTGCATCAGATCTTTTGTACATTTACTAGTGGTAGAGAACAGGTAACCTGAATCCTAGTAAGACGGAATTACTGTCTGTCCATCAGGATTCCTCGGTGGCTCCAGTGGTGTATCTGGATGGTGAAGCACTACCCATAAAAGGACAAGTCTGTGACTTGAGGGAACTCCTGAACTCTCAATCTCCAGCTGGAACTACTGGAGCTGGAAAGTGCTTTGCCCAGCATCATTCACTGGTGCATTCGCTGCAGCCTTACCTGGGTGAAAGGACCTTTTTACAGTGTGAAAGTCATTGCCTGACCAATTCAAACTTGCTGGGAAAAGTAGCTAGCAGCTCCCTACTTTGGGAAGATACAGGAAGCCAAGCCTCAGAGGCACTTCTCAGTAGCCATTCTGGCCCTCTGGAATGGCTTCCTCCTAGATATTAGGTTAGCTCCTACCTTAACTGCCTTCTGCAAACTACTGAAAACAGAACTCTTCCAGAAGGTGTCTGGGATTTAAAAACTGAATTTAAAAGTATTGTATATATTTTTAAGGCTATTATAATGCTGACAGTGGGTGTTTTAATAGTTGTATATTCCTGTAATTGCCAAGCCTCCTAAAGCCACATTACGTTACTTCTGAAAGATACACCATATTTATTAGATAGAAAGATGGGGGCCCTCACATTTGCTGAGAATAATAGAAGACACTGCTGAAAACAGGTAGGAGATTACAGGCACACTAACAAGCACAGATGCCTTTGAAGATTAACAGTTCTTGCGGAGAATGCTTACTTGGCATATTTAATCTTTTTGATAGTGCCTAAGCAGGGCTTCCCTCTCTTCTTTTCTTCCCTATCCAGGTACCCCTTCTCCTTGCCAGGTTTGTTTTTGCCCTCTTTTTAAAGCTCCCCACATTCAGCAGCTACCCCTTCGCCTTAGTCAGTCACCTGACCTTAGCCGATTTTGGAGTGTGGCTTCTGATATGTAGTTTTACACATATTTATCACACATATACACATTACTAAGAGAGGAATTCTCCAGGATTAATTTCAACCTTAAGTTGAAATGTGAGGAAGTTGGGCAAGATTTGGGTGTATATTTTTTCCTGTATACTCTTGCTTTTGGAATGGGTGGGAGGATGCCTTAAATTCAGAGAAGTCTTCCAACAAATTGGGTCCAGTATTTCAACTTTGGACATGAATATTTTAGAAAGAAAGTGATGTTAAATGTTGAGTACAATGTGTCATTTACAGTACAATTCATAAAATCACCAATACAGGTAGTCCTCACTTAACAACCCTAATTGGGACTGGAATTTCCATCACTAAGCAAAGCAGTCATTAGACAAAAGGTCAGATGACACCACTTAGCAACAGCAGTTCCAGTAGTCCCAGTTGCAGTTGTTAAGCCAGGACAACACCATAGTTAGGCCAGGAACTCATGCTTTTCCTGCCCTGCCATGCTCACCTGTTTCAATTTCCCCCAGCAGCCTATCTCCCATCTCTGCCCTTTTGGCCGCCCTGCACTCTGCCGCTGCCTACCCCTGCCTTCCCCAGCTGACCTTTGCTGTCTTCTTCCTCCTGCTGCTGAGGCGCACCGTGTCTGGGAGGTCTCATGAAGGGCCAACAGCTGCCTCAGTCAGGCGCACCTCATCAGCAGCAGAAGGAAGAAGACGGTGAAGGTCAACTGGGGGTGGCAGCAGGCAGGTAGCGGCAGAGTGCAGGGTGGCCAAGAGGGCAGAGATGGGGAGGAGACAGAAGGGTGGGGGGAGTTGAAGTGCACACTACAGTCATAAATGTGGATGGGCTGCCAACCACCTGAATTTTGATCACGTGACTGCAGGGGCACTGCAGTGGCCATAACATCGAGGACTGGCCATAATTACCATTTGTTCTGCACTATTGTAACTTCAAACAGTCAATGAGCAAATGAATATTAAGTGGGGACTACCTGTAGTATTATTTTTCCATGAATACAGATCATTCTGTGTTGCCTTTAAGTGGAGCATTAACACAATTACAGGAGATTGCTGTATGGAAAAAAGCAATGGTATGTTTTATCTGCTCATTTATTTCACTTTTATCCCACCGCAATCTTGTGACTCTTGGTGATTACAATGCAACAATAAAAACAACAACGGAGTTAAAATCGCATACAACCCAAATCACAAAACCACAACCAAGACAAAAAAAAAAAAAAAACAAGAAGAGGCACTAGTGATGTTATGGAAAGGCTCTTTGAAAAAGCTCCATTTTAATAACTTCCTCAGAGCTATCAGGGAGAGGGGCAGTATGATCTCAGTGGAAAGCCATTCCACAGTATCAGCATTGCTACCGAGAAGCAGTGCCTTCTAGCTTTGGCTCTCCTGTCATCCCAGATATCTGAAAAAGTTAAGCAGATGATCACTTACCCTTTATCTGATAGTCTGAGTTTTGATTTCTCACTTTGAAGTATCATAATGCATATTTACATATTAGGTCACCCTAGCTCTCATAAAGTGGTCTAGGCCCCATGGTTTTCACTATTCCAGTTAGGCTAATTAAAGACTCAGCATATTGTTCATATTATTCTTAGCTTATACACTGTTGTTCCAAGTTTATATTTATTATACAATTATAATAAATATAAAAAAACAAAATAATATATAGGTAGTCCTCAACTTATGACGGCAATTGGGACCAGAATTTCCATCGCTAAGTGATGCAGCTGTAAAGCACAACTGCATCACTTAGCAACAGCAATGCCTGCAGTCCCGGTTGCCATTTTTAACTGGATCCTGTGGTGGTTAGGCGAGGCAACTTCCTGCTATCTTCCCACAAC